GTATACCAATTTTAGAGTAAAACCTGTTATGTAAAATATTTATTATATATAAAATAAAATGAGTATAGTGCATTTTCATTACAGTAAAAATAAACTTCTATAACTTTTTGATACTTTAATTTTTTTGGAAAAATTCCACTTTTGCAATAATCTGCCAACCTTAGGTCTGTATTCCACAGTGTTCATAAATTACAACAATTTAAGTTTGGATAGTGCACTTTCATGCCTATTTTAAAAAATGGGGGTGACAGTTAAGGGGTTAAAACAGTTGCAGCTTGCTTAGGGGTGATTAAAAGAAAGATACGACATAACTAAGTTTGGATAGTGCACTTTCATGCCTATTTAAAAAAATGGGGGTGACAGTTAAGGGGTTAAAACAGTTGCAGCTTGCTTAGGGGTGATTAAAAGAAAGATACGACATAACATCATTTACGTTAGCGGGTATGAAAGTCTGTAAGATGACTTCATTGTAATGCGCTGCTCCGCATGATTGGAGTGATGTACACACAGATCAACCGGATTGAATGACTCTGGTTTGCGCCGCTGTTGCATCAGTCAGAGCGTGCCGGTGCTGCGGGATCTGCTCACCTCTCCCAGCGCCTGCAGGCTCTTCACCGCGCCGACGATCACCTGATGATCCACCCCGAGATCGGCTGCCACATCCTGGCTGTCAGTGCCGCCGTCCACCTTCTCCAGCAGCCGTAAGAGTGATTCCAAAAGCCCGGTGTCAGCCATGCTGGAGTCGCCTTGCGCTCGGACGGGGAAACGGACATGACGTCACATCAGCCGTAAGCTCAGTAACAAAAACGCACGACATTACTTTACCGTAAACCACGAAGAGCGGCTCTGTATTTATTTCTTTGAAACATAAATATTTTTTACATTGTAGTTATTAATATCATGCGGTCCATAAGCCTTTATTAAAATATTATGTACTATTTATTACTACACCATTGAACAAAATATTTATATTTACATTATTGTGGTTTTCACCATTACCGGCGTTTTCAATCATGCCGTCTACACACCTTTATTATTAGAAAAATATTCTGTATATTTAGAGCGGCAATGTATTTATTACATTTTTGTACAAATAATTATTGCCGTTTTCAATCGTGTTTACAATTCTTTTTATTTTTTAATGTTCTGTATATTAATATCGTGTCTGTGTTTATTATTACTCCTTCAAACACAAAATATATTTTCTTTACACTATTCTTATATGCGTTTTCAATCGTGGCGTTCACATTTAGTAAAAAGCACATTTTAGATCCTAAAACAAGTTACATTTTCAAGTTTAAAATGCTTGATTACATTTTTAATGCCAGATTTGAATGTGACTTTTTGACTAAATTGTATAGGTTATATAAAAACAAGTATAACCAAAACACCTGGAGATGTGCATTCAAAAATACAGCAGAAATCAGATATCCTCCAAAATAAAATCCTTTATTACAAACACCACACATTCTTTAAACGTTGCTCGGAAAAATAAAGGTCCCCCACCCAAAACAGCCAGTTATACATCGATCTGACACATCACAACTTTCACAATCACATAACCATTTAAAACAATGTCACATGTGCATTCATAATTTAAAAGAAAAGCCTACAATTACAGGGAAAAAAATCATGAAATGTTGCTGGTCAAACAGAAGAAAATAAAAACTAAAGATTTACAGCTTGAGACTGATGCATCTTATATTTGTACATGTCTGAATGGTTAAAATCACTCGAGGACTGAGCGTCCAGTCACTGCATATTACCAAATGATCAGGTCCTCACATGCGTCGCTTTGGGTTTATTTCACTTCTCCCTTGTGAGGGCAGTAGTTTGGGGGAGTTCACAGATTTGAACTTCAAAAGAAACATGAAAATACACTATTTTGCACAAAGTTTAGAGACTGCTATTTTTTTTTAGCTCAGGTGTTGGTGATAGAAACCAAAAATCAATAACAACAGAATCAAAACGGATGATGCTCCATGTTTGGAAATGATGATGCAGGACTGCACACAGGATACTTTATCGATACTGGTAGTTCATACTGGGATCGCCCCGGCCGTACCCTGCTGGTCCACTGTTATAGGAGGTGGAGCTACCACCGAAATTCTGGTTGGCTCCGCCCTGTGAACCGTAGTTTGACTGGTTGCTGTAACCTGTGAGAGACCAATCAGAATTAGTAAAAAAAAACACTACAACATTAAACACAGTTAAGGCCCGTTTACACCAAGGATGACAACTATAATGATAAAGTTTTGACAGTCATTCTAAGACCACAGCTATAATGATAATGACAATAGTTTTCCCACAGCTGATTTACGAAAAAAATAATTGACAACCAATAAGAATCTACCTGAGTTTAAAGATCTTCAGCATTTAAAGCAATAGACAGTGTAACTTATAATAAACAACGTTGGTGTTGATGTTAATATAGTTGTCATTATAGTTTTTGGTGTGAATGGGTCTTAAAGGAACATTTCACTCAAGTTAAAATTAGCTGAAAATGAAATGGAGAAATTTATCATTTCATCACTTGCTCACCAATGGATGCTCTGCAGTGAATGGGTGCCGTCAGAATGAGAGTCCAAACAGCTGATAAAAACATCACAAGTAATCCACACCACTCCAGTCCATCAATTAATGTCTTGTGAAGTGAAAAACTGTTTGTAAATAAATTTATCATTAAGGTGTTTTATCTTCAAACCTTTAGCCAAAAAGTGTTCGTAATCCATAATAACGCTTCCACCAGTGAAAAAGTTCATCCCCTGTTGTTCTCTCACATCAAAAATCCACCCACATATTTGTTTAGAACTGTTTTGGACTGTTTTTGCTTGATCTGTGCATATTTCGCTCCCGATTCAGACGACAATTTTTTATTTTTACTGGAGAAAGCAATATTATATGGATAGAGGATGTCTTAGTGATGCATTTGTTTCTTACAAACACAGCTTTTTGCTCACAAGACATTAACTGATGGACTGGAGTGGTGTGAATTACTTGTGGATTATTGTGATGTTTTTATCAGCTGTTTGGACTCTCATTCTGACGGCACCCATTCACTGCAGAGCATCCATTGGTGAGCAAGTGATGCAATGATAAATTTCTCTAAATCTGTTTAGATGAAGCAGCAACTCATCTACATCTTGGATGGCCTGAGGGTGAGTACATTTTCAGCAAGTGTCAATTTTTGGGTGAACTATTCTTGTAACTCAAGAGTGTTTTCGTTACCTTCATAGCTGTAGTCCTGTCCTCCGGTCACCTGTGAGGGATAAGCAGTGCTGTAGTTGAAGTTTCCACCTCCTCCTCCTCCTCCTCCTACTCCACCACCACCTTGAGCCTGACCGAAGTTCTTTTTCTGTCCAAAGCCCTGGCTGTACTGACCAAAGGAACCCCCTTGGCCAATTCCGGATCCTTGAGGCTTGGTGTTTTGGTGCATGGGTGGCTTCTTACCGGCCGGTTTGGGGGTTCCGGTAGGGGACGAGTAGCCACCATCACTCTGATAATACGAGCCGAAACCAGTCGCCCCTGCTGCTCCCCCAGAAGACAGGTTTGTGCCTGGACCTGATGATCCAGGACCTGAGGCCACCGGTCCACCATTAGACCCTCCATTATTAAAGAAATCTGAAGAGGAATGATGCAGTAAATGTTAACAGATGGACATTTTATTCGAATTGAATTCACATTATAAATCTGAATCAACATATTACTGGCTTTTAAGTAGTGAACCTAACAGAATTTTTCTGTACACAAACTTGATACAAAATATACTTTAATAAAACCACTTACTAATCCACATTTTCTCACTTTGAAATAGTAAATGTCTCACACTACACTTTTCATTCCATTCACTTCCATTTAAACGCATGCAAATGCGAGAGAGCGGAAATGCAAGCTCTTGTTAAGATGTTTCACATTTCGCTGCTCTACAAAGTTCAAGTTTGGACCTGAGAATTTGTATCACATCAAGACGTGACCAATAGAAAACCAGTATGTCATAGCTGATTTAGAAGAACTCAAACTTTGCAGAATTGCAGGAAAGTGGGGTAGATTGTATATTTTTACATTTTGGATTTGTTATACACTGAATAAAAAAAAAAAAGGGTGCTGCAGAGTTTGATGTCATATCACGACCGTTGCACTGTCCAAAACAATTTTGCATGCTCAAAATCAGCTTAATACTAATTTAGCTTTGCAAAACAAGCTACAAGTGGTTCAAAAGCAATTGCGGTAATAAATACTGTCTTTGCATATCTGTAAATAAAGACTTTTCTGGACTGAATATAAGAGGCCAAAATAGCAAATAAATAGAAGAGTGAAAATGGTTTCAATCGTAATACTAGCTAAACCATTTAATAAAAACATACATTTACACACACACAAAAAAAAAAAATCTTCACAAAACCTGATGCAAATCTGTATAAATTTCAAAAAAAGAAAAAAAAAATAATAAAAATTTACATATATATCACAGATTTGTAAATTAACTCAAATTTATTGCAAAATAAGACGTAATCCACAAACATCAATTTAAAAACAAAAACGCAGCAAATAAACCCCATTTGTTCAATAGTTCACAGAATTGATAATATTCTGATATTAAAAATCTGTGCCTACTCTTCACAAACCCAATTTCTCACAATCAATGGCATTCACCACAATTAAAAAAAGAAAAATAAATAAACTTTAAAACATTAAAGACATGGCAATTTATGGAAGTGACAATTAAAAATCCACCAGGAACATTATTCCAGGAAAAACAACTAAACTGTTGGCAAAATGGCTTATACAGTGACTTGAGAGCTGCAGTGAAGATACAGTCTTTATGAAATGTCAGTCCGCTACTTTGTGACCATTCACCAGCCAATCACATTGCTCAACTGCACTGATCGCGGCACAAATAATACGTCAGAGTGTCTTGCTTTTCTTGATTTCCGTAGGCAGAAACTCCCGTTCACATCCACAGTGTTAGTTGATCGTTGGTGCAGGTTTTTTGAGGTGAGATTGTGGATGATGCATCACAAGGAAACGAGTTCATAGTGTGGGTAGCCAGTGTTTTTTTCCCCTCTCTCTCTATTTTTCATGTGTGCTTATTGAAAACATTGGGCGGTTTATGTCGCAAACTCGTGGTAGCCATAGGAGTCTGAGACAAAGTCACCTAAAGGGTGAGACAGAGCAGAGAAGCACAGAATTAGACGTCTTCTGTGTTTGGCATGCCATGACAAACGTCACCAGGCATGAGTCAAGGATGTCAATCGGATATCATCAAGGTCAAAGATAATTTGTGTTTTTTTGTCTTTTTAGATTTCTCTGCTCCGGTCACCCTCAAGAAGGTCTTTCCTCAGAAAGTGGCGTTGGCATGTTGGGAACATTTTTCATTTTTCGCCGAGGAAAGTTTGCGTCCCATGGCACAACAAAGCAGAGAAATGTAAAATCAAAAGGAAAATACAATAACGGACACTCACATTAAAGACATCATTAACATGTCCCCAAAACTACCAGAGCAGCAGTTTAAATAGATCCAGAGCAAAGTGCACAGACTATTTAATTTGAGATGAAGTCAAAAATGGCAACAACTTGTGCCATAAAGACAAGTCTTGTGGTTAAACTAATTAACAAGGATAAAAATGCTAAAAGGTATAAAAAGAAAAGAAAAGAGTAGAATCAATGGCACCAGTGAGAAATAGGAAAATACTCACTGTAGCCAGAGTTGTTATTGCCGCCATATCCATACGTCCCATATCCACCTAAAAGGAGACAAGAATATTGATAAGAATA